AAAGAAAGAAAGAAAGAAAGAAAGAAAGAAAGAAAGAAAGAAAGAAAGAAAGAAAGAAAGAAAGAAAGGGAAGGAAGGAAAGAAAGAAAGAAAGAAAGAAAGAAAGAAAGAAAGAAAGAAAGAAAGAAAGTTAGTTAGCTGAGCAAGCCAGAGATGTCAGCCAGAATTTCTCCAGAGTTCCTGCCTTCAGGTTCCTGCTTGGGTTCTGCCCTTGTTTCCTTTCTTGATGGACCAGAAGGCCAAATAAACCCTTTCTTCCCCAAGATGCTTTTAGCCAGTATTTTATTTATAGCAACAAGAAAATCAAGCTAAAACACTCTTGTTCAAATGAATAGAATCTAAATCCTACCTCTGGCCTTAGGTGAAGGTAGACATGACATTGTAATCTGGCTCAAAATTTACAACTGTTTTTTACTATTGATCCCGCCCTTTAGAGTTAATCCAACTGAGTATCAGTCATCTGACCAGGAGACCTCCCTGCTGCTAGTTTGCCTAAGAAGGCTAACTGAGGAGTTGGAAGGAATAATTAATGATTATTATCCCCTTAATGAGATAGTGTATTTGCATACTCCAAGTCCTTCCCCCAGTATAGTTACTTAAAATTTTTCCCTAATGCTGTTCTGCTTTCTATTAATGTCTTAACTAAAAAAGCATAACTTTCTGTTTGCCTTTTTTTTCTAATATTGGCAAAAATCCTACACAGGCTTGCCCTGACATCATAGACTGTTGTGTTTTATAAAAATATAAGGAGAGAAGGAATATGTTTGGCGGATGTGTAGTCAGGTGTGAGGGAAGGCAGTGCCTCCCCAGGCCCATGCTGAAGAAGCCCTTCCCCCTGAGGGGCCAGCTACAGGACATTATAGTGTAGAATAGAGTCTATTCAGGGCATTGGGAGGGGAGTTGAAAGGGTAGTAGAGACAGAGAAAGACAGAAAGAGAGTAGAGGAGTAGAGGCTGGCAATGGACATGTGGAGAGAGAAGAGAGAGGCAAATGGGAAGAGAGAGAGGGAAGGGGCAAGAGGACAGAGCAAGAGCAAGAAGGCAAGAGAAAGTAGAGGGGACAAGCAGCATCTTTTATAGTGAGTTAGACACACCTGGCTGTTGCCAGGTAACTGTGGGGCGGAGCTTAGACAAAATGCTAACATGGACTACCTCATATTCTCTGTAAAGACCCCTGTCATATGACAGGTTCCTCAGAATTGCAACATTCCCTCTAAATTGAAGCAGTCACGCAAAGTGTGAGACCTTTCCAGCCTCAGGAGGTAAACAAAGAGTTATCTGAAAAGAGGTAATTGGAAGGTTCCTGGGGGCTGTTACCTTGCAGTATACAGAGGCTCAAGCTACCGCTGAGAGACAAAATAAAAAGAGTCAATGATAGAGTTGCCTATGAGCTGCATAGAAAGCACCAGGGTTGTAGATTTTCTGAATCATCACCCACATTGGAGTAGGCTTCCTAGCCTTGCTTTTGAGTTAACCCTGCTCCTGTCAGTAACCCCTAACCCACTCTCCTGTTAGTAACCTCACTAAAAACCTCCCTGGTTCACCAAGTTGGAAACAAGTATACTCATTACTCAGTCGTGGGCTCTCTTTGGAGGGTAAGTAAATATATGTGTTGTGTCTCCTCAGCAAATGTCTATCCCATGACCCATGAAGTTGCTTGCCAGCGTCCATGGCCTAACCATAATGCTGCTGGCTTTCTTGCTCTCCATCTTGCTGTTCCCCAGACCTCTCTCCCCACCAACTACCAGTGTTTGCACATTGCCTGCTTTGTTTTCTCTGCCCTGAGATTCCTTCAGTATTTGTTTTTAAATCAGTTACTGCACGGTTGCATGCTGCTCACTCTGTCCTTTTCATTCAGCTAAGGATCCATTCATGAAATGGTGCCGCCTGTATTCAGAATAGGTCTTTCTATCTCAATTAACCCAATTTAGAAAATCCGTCGAAGTCCTGCCTATAGGCCAACCTTATCTATACAATTCCTCCTCGAGGAGCCCTTCTTAAGTCAAGTTTGCAAGACCAGTGAGCGCCATGGTGGCAAGTGAGCTGTAATGTAGCAGTTTGACTTTACAAGCACTGATTTTCCCTTTGAACTGCACAATGAGCTGTAGGAATGGTTCCTCTGGTAAAACTACTTGCCACTCAAGCCTGACAGTAGAGGTGGAGAACTAACTCCAAAAATTATTCCGACTTCCATATTTGAGCCATGGCACTTACATATCTAAATCCAGGCACTCATACAGACATACTTAAAATCAATCTTTTTGTTTAAAAAAATTTGTCTGTGTGTAAAGATTCACATCTTTAATCCCAGACCTTAGGAAACAGAGATGAACAGAGAGAGCTCTTAAGTTTGAGACCAGCTTGATCTACATATTGAGTTCCAGACTAGCCAGAACTCCATAGTGAGAGTCTGTCTCTAAATAAGGTTTGTTTTTTTTAAGTTTGTTTGTTTTTTTTTTAAAAAAAAAAAAAAGATAGTGCTTTGCACAGCTGGCTCGGAGCGTGTAGGAGACGGACACTGAGCAGGGTTTCATTCTCTGGAGTCACAGACCCTGTAAGATCTGGATATGTCCTTCATATTTGACTGGATTTACAGTGGCTTCAGCAGTGTGCTGCAGTTTCTAGGATTATATAAAAAACTGGTAAACTGGTATTCCTTGGATTGGATAATGCAGGGAAAACAACGTTGTTGCACATGCTGCAAGATGATAGGCTTGGCCAGCACGTCCCAACGCTACATCCCACTTCAGAAGAGCTCACAATTGCTGGCATGACGTTTACGACTTTTGATCTGGGTGGGCACATGCAAGCCCGAAGAGTATGGAAAAACTACCTTCCTGCTATCAATGGCATTGTATTTCTTGTGGATTGTGCAGACCATGAAAGGCTGTTAGAATCAAAAGAAGAACTTGATTCACTAATGACAGATGGAACCATTGCCAACGTGCCTATCCTAATTCTTGGAAACAAGATCGACAGACCAGAAGCCATCAGTGAAGAGAGGTTACGAGAGATGTTTGGTTTATATGGTCAGAGAACAGGAAAGGGTAGTGTGTCACTGAAGGAGCTGAACACCCGGCCTCTGGAAGTGTTCATGTGCAGTGTGCTGAAGAGGCAGGGCTACGGGGAAGGC